GTGAACAAGCTGTTATTCCGTTAATTACAAGAAACCATCAAACTAAAACTAAATAAGCTTTGAAAATATCGAACCTACCTATACCGCTTCAGCAAATATTTTTGTTAGCTTATCAGTATCAAGTTGAAAATTACAATGACTGTGAAAATAAGCAATGTTCAGCCGTTTAAAGAAGATATTGAAATTGGGTTGTATTTTATTCATAATACTGTAATTACAAATATATTATATTAAATAGCGATAAAGATCTAAATAAGCATATAATGCCTGTTGAAAAGTTTTTTAATCATATCATTGGTGATATTAACTAACCTCTTAACAGCATGGAATATTTCGAAAAAGGATATGAAAATCTAAATATTTAACTATGGGCAAATTAATGCCTTATCTATTTTAACAAGATTCCTCATCACAGTTGAAGTAGGTCAAAATTAAAGTTCAACCGCATTAACTTAAAAAAAATTCGTGTACAAAAAAAATATTAATCTATGAAATATAATACTTTTTATGCGCTTAATAACTACATTTATCGATGCTTACATTTCTTATGCTAATAACGATCAAGCCACAGGCTTGAATATCATCGCAGTTATTTTGGGCCCTTATATGTAATATTTTTTAAAAATTAGGCCCTTATATGTAATTATTTTTAATTTGGGCCCGTATTTGTAATTATTTTCACTTTCCGGGCCCTTTTTTATTGTTTTTGTTTTTCGTTTCCCTGCTTAGTTCTTGTTTGATGTCCGGTTTTTCATCTCCCCTGAATTGGAGCCGGTTATGTTCTTCACAAATTTAAAAACAGTTGAAAAACTGCGAAGTAGAGGTTTTCGTAGGTGAACTATAGCAAAAAAGCTTCATAGAAGACTTATTAAATAAAAAAGAAAAAACAACTCTTCAACGAAGAACAACAAGCTTCTGTACGGGAGATACAGAAGAAATTGGTTGGGTAGAAATATCAAGTGCTTTTCGGTGCACTTTTTTTTTTTTTTTTAGGTAGTGTTAATAAAATCTGTGGCTTTCAGCGCCGAAAACCACGACGTATTTGTATCTTCTCAACCGATGAGATGCACCTCTATGTGGTGGTTGGGACGAGTAGGAGATATAATCTCCGAACGAAGTATCTCAAAAACTTATTTTTTTATTTAGCATATTTAGTATATAGAAATTTATATATTATAGTTTTTTTAATTGTATGATAATAAATTATTAATAAATTAATAAAATTATTTAACTATATATATGGATTATATTATATAGTATAATAAAGATTATTTATCGGGTGACTTTAACCCGGGTGAAAATAGAATTTCCCTAATAAAAAATTATTCGTATTGCGCCAAAATTTGAAAATAAATAAAAGATAAAATTTCGAACAATTTTAGTGAATAAATTTTGATTTTCTTAGAAAAAAGTCTAGTTTTCTTGTAATATGTTCAATTCGTCATAATACCACATTCATCAAAATACCTTATAGTACACAGTATTATATTATATAATACCGCAACATATATAGCAATAGAGTTCAGAAGATTTATATTTGATAAATCAGCTTTAATAATGTATAGATAAAAAATTTGGCACAAATGTGTGTTTAGACATCGTTGTTTTATTTTTTTGTGCATTTTGCACAGCTAATTGTTAATTTTGTGCAATACATGCGCAATGAATTTTATTATGCCTATCGCTATCATTATCGTATGTAAACTTACACTTTAACAGATATGTATCCAATTTCTTTGTTTACAATTTCATAAAAGTAGAGACCCTTAATAAACTTACATGATGTATGGAAAGCCTAATTTTCAAATTTATAGTAATGTCGCTTCTCAAGTTGTATCTAACGGATCGAATTTGGTACTAGCTAAAAACCTAACATCCACAATACACATTCACAATATACTATTATCTTTTGTAACGGTTTGAAAACATTTAACATAAAAAATAGTCATTCTTCGTGTTGCAACTTTTTGACCAATAAAATAACGTTATATTTTTTGTAACGATGATCTGACTGTATTCATGCAAACAAAGGCCGCATTGTAATCAACTGCTCGGGCTCCGGCGTTTGATGAAACAAAGGTATACTGAAATGGAACGGGCCACCTTTGTAAGTATTATTCTAAATTTATCGAACAAACAATTAGGCTGCTTAGTTTAAAATACATATGACATTTACGCATTTATCGTTATACTATCGTACAGGTTTTAGAAAACAAGGAATGAATTCTTTATAAATACATGGCTTCCATCAGTCAAGGAAAATTGTTGACACGCAGCGCGTTTCCGTTCAAGTCAACCAAAATTTTTGCTCAAAGCAAAATAAGAATTCTATAGATTATATACACATATACTCAGCCGGACTGCAAAGATGTTTGAAAATAGATTATCTGAAATCCCCGGACCAAAAAAGCAAAATCGACGATTTTCTGTCACTTCTAATACTGATACCGAAAAACCTGAAAGTTCTGAAAGTCATTCTTTCTTTCATACTTATGTGGCCTCGCCACTTCAAACATTCTTTCGTTCTTATATAGTCCGGCCGTCAAGAGAAAGCCCTTTAATATTTTCTTCTGTCATCATAATTATTTTGTCAACCCTACTTCTTTTTATTCTTTTGGTCGGTAGTTCTAAAACTATTTTTTTGTCAAAATTCATTTTTGATTCAAAGATATCATTTATTACGAAAACAAACGATATTACATTCACTCTATATGGACATTGTGTGGATGATAAATGTACTACTCCTTCACTAGTTAATAATTTTGACAAAGGTATGCATTAAATTATTGGTTTCTGTTTTTCTTAGCATTTATCTCAAATCAAATTTCTTTTTTAGTACCCTCCTCTTCGGAAATTAATAATAAATCATCAAATCGCAAACGTCTCGATATCCCAAATGTCCCAACCCCTTCAATCCCAACTCCTTCAGTTCCCGATGTTCCTTCTAGTGTAGGTCCGGCTGCTTCGGCCGTTAGTAGTGCTGTCAACGATGCTGCAAATACTGCTGTGAATGCTGCACAGGATATTGCTGCAAAAGCCCAGGAATTATTATCTAAGCTATTAAGCTCTTTCGATAACTTTAAACCAAAAAGTCCCACTTCTAATATTGCGGGGTTTTTCTCAATTCCTTATCTATTAGCTTTTATATTTAATATAATTTCATTACCTTTTCTATACTTTAATATTACAATGATTGCTACTTACATCATAGTAGCTTCTGCATTTCTTAATATTCTCGCTTGTGTTTTTGATCTCTTACTTTTTGTTTGGGTCTTTGACCTTATTTCTATTATTCCTGGTATTGGAAGTCAACAAACCGGCCCTGCCATTTATTTGGCTGCTTTGAGCGCTGCTTTACTGACTGTTGCTGTTATATTATTAAGTATTAGCTCATGTTGTAATTCTGTCAGGAGCACTGGTAAATTCGTAAAGAATTTAAGAAAGACAAAAGTTAATGATGCTGAACAAGGAAAACAAGGGACACACTATAATTATTTTTAAAATTTCGTTTATGTGTTATATAATCTATAGACAATTCTTTATTACGTAATAATAAATTTTTGGTTCGGGGTTTAATTTTATTTAATGTTAATGTTAATATTTTCATGCGTAAAAAAGAATAGTTGTATATAAATATCCTTAATAATTCTGACCCATCTCATTTGACAAAAACTTAACAATATTTACATTACTACGTAAAGTCTATACAGAATTTCAATTCACCATTAACAAGACTGCTTTTAAATTATTATATACTAGATGCTCCATTATTATTTTCTTTTAAATAATTATATTCAATATAATACTAGAATTATGTATAACAATTATCATCAAATAAAAACAAGCAAAATTCTTTAGTTCTCATAACTTTGCCAGGTCAATAAAAGTTAAGATTTTTTATAACAGCATAGAATTGGCCAATCTGTTAAGATACAGTATATATACGTGGTTATACATGGGTGCCGAAATTATTTTTGAAAAATCGTATTTTCGGCAAACATTTCGGCATTACTAAATTTTTTATATGAAGCCCTTCGAAATAACTATATTATATGATGTATTTTGATGAAAAGAGTTCAGAAAATTTCGGCAATAATTTCGGCAAATATGAAAAATAATTTCGACACTACATAAGACTAATTTCGGCTGCCTAAATGCCGTAATTACTTTTTTATTAAGATGGGCAATTTCGGTACCCATGTATATACGTGGTAATTTGTTATTCTTCATAATAGAAAAATGAATATAAATTTACTTATGGTCTATTTTTGAAAAAAAAATAAAATTGCTATTAAATGTAGAAATCTTTTAAATTTATAAAAATTCAAAATGTTGTACTTATTGGTTAAATAAATTAAAATGTACCCAAATTTATAAATATATAAATTTATAAAAAATGCATTTTAATTAAAAGAAATAATATTTTAAACCAAAACTTTAAATATATACTTTTTAATACAGGTTACCCCATTAATATCAACCTCGTTAATATCAACCTAAACCACCAAACAAATTTTTATAAATTTTTATATATCAAAATTCCCTCATTTATATCAACTTTAATATGATTTCTCGTTAATATCACTATCAACATGATTTAAAACCAATTCAAATAGGTTGATATTAACGAGGGTAACCTGTATTTAATAATTTTATATAAATTTTAGATAATAGTTAGAAATAAAATTTAAAATAATCTTGAAGTTGATACTTTTTTTTTTGTAAAATTAAATAAAAATCTAATCTATCAAAATTCTAAATATTTCTAACACGTATAAGTCATAATTGAATTTTAGCTAAAAATAATTTAATTTGCTAAAAAATTTTAAACAGTCTTTTTTTATATTTTAAAATTTAATAATTCAATTTTGATGATTTTTTTTTTATCATAATGCTTTTTAAATTTATCCAGTTTGAATACTAAACTAATTGCAAAAAATTATTTTATTAATTTTTTAAATGAGATTTTTGCTAAAAAAGGTTTGAATAATCACTGTACCGCATGTTAAAAGTTCTAATCTAATTATATAATTAATTAAAATAGTCTTAAAATTTTATTACTGTAAATATAAGATTTTTATCAAAAATATTATACTATATTTTGAATGATAATAAATTTGCCAATCTTTATTTTATAAGTTATTTTTAAAGAATGATTTTAACGCTCACTAGATATGTTGTTTCTCAAAAGCGGCTTTGATAATCGGTATTTGGTATATTAAGTAAAAAATGTTCAGCATCCTAAAAACCTTAACTTCTACATACTTTAATTTAAGCCTTAAACCCTAATATTAATGTTTAATTTAACTTTAAAATTGGTGGTAAAATTTTTATAGATCATATAACGATAATATTAATTAAAAAATATATCGTGGTGAATTTCACCTCTGGTGAATGCTAAATAAATCCATTTTAAATCTATATTTTAAAATTACAAAATCTTAAAAGAATGATACTCGATATAAAAACTAGATATACTATATACTGTATTAGGTTAGAGTAAGTTAAAGATGTATTTATACGTATATAAAATTAGATGTTAACCATTTTTACGTAATTTTCATTAACTATATATTTTAAATTGGTCAGTTTAACCGACAAATTAAAACCATGTGGGTTACTTTTGTTAGGTGTTTTGAATTGTTCTGATAGTGTTACGTTACACTAAATCAGGGTATTTTATTGATCAATAATCACGTGGGGGTGAAATTTTTATGGCGATACTGGGGTAGTCTCTATTGCCAGCACTATCAAGACGACCTAAATTATACTCTAACGCTAACGCAGTCTAACTCGGTTAGGATTGTAAAAATTATTATCGCTTTATATAGTTTTATATAATGACAAGTTTTCCAAAACCAAGAATTTTATGTATTTTAATCATGTGAATATGCAGGCCCACTACAATGTACAGGTTAAATTATATTTTCGAATGTAGCAGCAATTATAGATTAATACCGGTCAAACTTTCATAATAATTACGTGCCAACACACAATTAGTTAAACAATTTTGTAGGTTACTATGGAACATAATTGTAATTTATTTAATTTTTTTAACCCGGAACCCGCGTAATTTGCAATGACCGGATAACAGTAACTTATCACATGACAATGGTAACCGTTTTCGGTAATATCTCCACGTTTAAAATTATCAAAGAATGTTTGTCCCACATTTCTTGCATTAATAAAACATACATAACCCGAATAATTCATCAAATAATTCGGTTATTCATTTATTAATCTATTTTAGCCAGTTATCTATCAGATATAAAGATAAATTTATGGATGGGAACACATTCAACTTTTGTTCGTTGAGCCCTGTAGAGTTCCGAACCGGGTGTAAAATTGTCACCCGGATCACCCGTATAATCTGAAATCGGGTGAACCGGTTGAAAAAGGTTGGAATAATCGTGAC